CTTCTCTTCACTGGTTTATTTAAGATGACAGATTCTACCGACTCTTCCATACTTTGTTCTCCTAACTCTTCACTGTCCGTCACAATCTGCTGTTCGCTTGTTTTTGGCGCAGAGATATCTGATTGACTGTGCCCCAGTAATACGTCCCTGTACGATGGTTTTTCTTTATTAATGCTAGTTTTATTGTGAATGCCCTCTATTAAATGTCGATGTTTGGGTTTTTCTTTTAACTGTTCTAAATAAAAAAATAAAGCTTTTCTATAAGTGTAGTTCTTATCACACATGATTTTTCGTATCTGTTTTTCCCTAATGAATATGGGACATGATTTTTCTAAAGCCATATGATTACTTTTACAATTTACACATTTGTAATTAGTAGTATCACAGTTGTTGTGCTTTTCTCCACATTTTGGGCATCTTATAATCTTTGTAGGGCAAAATTTTGACAAATGACCAAACCGCCAGCATCCAGAGCACTGCGACACAGGGAACATATAAGGTTCCACTTTAACTTTATACCCATATATATGTACATATGCAGGTAGTGTGGAACCCTTAAAACATATACGGACGGCCTCACTTTCAACCCATTCTCGAGAAGCATCAAGTCGTTTCAATCTTCGCACAGAGTCAATTTGGTATACACACTCTATATTCTTCTGTAAGTCTTCCATATCCACGTCTAAATCAACTTGTTTCACCACACCATAAGACAAGCTGACTTCCTCTACCAACTGACATCTATACCCCAAATCAATAATCCTATGACATTGTAATAGTTTTTCTGCATTTCCTCTGTCTTCAAACTCCAATAAGACTTTGTATGCACTACGATATTTAATTTTAGTAATATTTATAATATTTTCAGACCTTAACATCTTTGCCAAACCAAATTGTTTAGGTAATACTGCATCTTTTCCCGTCATACTAACAATAACACCCTTTGTTGAGTGTGAATTTTTTTCCCCACTTGTACTGCTATCAGATTTACTTGAATTCCTCCTTGCCATTTTCTTCTTCCCTTTTCTAACCGTTATAAACCCATCTTCTTCTTCTATGATTTCCTCATTGTCTTCTCTTATTCTTTTTTCTGTCGTCCTTTGGATATCTGACAAACTGGTATCTTTTTCCATTATACACTGAATTGCTGGTTGCTCCATTTGATTATGTAACTCTTCCTCCATTATATCACTACCACTTGAATCACAAATATCTCGTAAATCCTCCATTGTCTATCGACATTAAGATATATGTAGGTAGTTGTGAAAAAAATTTATTGCCGATAAGTAAATCGTCCGAGACACATACGCTCACCTCGGCGTCTCGCGCGGCACTGTGTTTAATAATTGTTTCACTGCTTTTTGACCTAGTCTTAACTCTGGTAACAGATACTTAGATCGTGGAGATCAAATTATAAATAAACACGAATGTTTTTATTTCAATACACCGAGAAGAAGAAAATTATGATGATATACGAAATCGTGTTGCAAATAATCTTGCCTCTCAACAGTTTTGTGGCAAACTGTCCAATTTAAACATTGCGTCATCTGTTGCATATCTAAACTACAATTCATCTTTATGGAAACGGATGCGTATTACAAATACAACGTGTCATACTACTGCGGTAGTTTTCTTCATAACGAACACGGTAGAGTTGTTGTTGAATGACAGTAAAAGTTTTTATGGAGTTGTAGTAACTGTATTCTATGCATGTCGGTGTATAAAATTGACAACTTTACAATCGCACCGTTGCACGCATATAACTTACAGCGCCACGTCTGCCATACGCTTTCAACTGTTATAAAAATAATATTATCTAATAACGGGAACCGCTGACGTCACATAATTATTGTTTAATACTTTGTTGCGCGTAAAGCGTGTAGCCGGACGAGATCGATTCTAACAAGCACTTTACGACCTAATAAAAGTGTAATATTTAAACATTTTTCTCTCTCAACACCGCTTTATTGTCCCTAATGGGCGACTAAAAGCGCCATCTGTTACTGTTTATTGGAAAATACTTAATACGCAGTCATAATGACGCTGCGTTAGCACCAGTTCCATTTTAAGTGTCAAATTTTATGTGTCCGAGTATGTGTTTCGAATCAGTTTGTAACAAATTCTTAATTAGCAGCTGTTGTTTATTGTTTCACGTAATGATGTGTCTGTCACGCGGACAGGGCTAATGAAAGGTAGCTGCAGATAGGTTCTCTACGGTAATCAGCGGATTTGAAAATAGCACTATGTATAGAATTCCTTAGAAAATCCAGTAAAAAAACTCACGATCACGGTTTTCATTAAAAGATAGTTTAAAAATACTCGATGAAATGTGATACAACACTGCTTTTTAGTGCGCTCCTTTGTCTAAAAAATTATAATTAACTGTGATAGTGAGATTTGAAATCTCATTCACTTTAATTTTCTACTCAAGTTCTTATAACGCACTACAAATTTCTTGACATTTGATGATAATTGCGATAATTGCTATTGTGGAACATATAGGTGGCCGTTACATATGAATTATTGTCGAGTAGTTTCACTAATGAGAAGTAGACGTACGTTTTCAAACAAAATCTGAAAAAATAGTTTGATAACCAAACAACACGCAAAGCTTTTTAAGGTTATCTACCGATGAGTGAGCTGTTCATTTATGTACTCTTAAATATGGCTATTATTTTTGTATAATAAGCAAAACTTCATGATGAGCAGTAGTTAAAAATGAAAGCTTAACGAACAGGCGAAGTTAGCTTCAGACTATTTGTGAGAGGGCCGTGCTTCAGCATAAATAGGTCGGCTCGATTTCTTTTAATGTTAGAGGGGGCCGACGAGCAGACAGGTCACCTAATGGAAAGTAACCATCGCCGGCCATGAACGTCTGCAACACAGGAGTCACAAACGCGTTGCCGGCCTTTTAGGAAGGAGTACGCTCTTTTCTGGAAGGTTTGCTTTTATTTTATTTCTTTTTTTAACGTGTTGAAACCCCCTGGGGCCGTGACCCCACCGGCGGTGTGTGGGAATCGAACTGACACACGGTGCACCACTCCGCGCCTGAGATAGGAGGGGTCCGGGAATAGCTGATATTAAGACATCTGGACCAGTTCGACCGGAGTGCTACCACGGCCTCACAGAAGCCAGTGTTAAGTAATTTACGTAATTCGAGTGAGGTTACCGGAGGGCTAACCCCCACTCCCAGTGATTCTGAGGGGGGCTTAAAGGGGGTAAGGCATTTGTGACTTTGGAATTGCAGGTGTCGATTACTTATTATCAGCTCTGCTCGATAGAGTCCATAATCATAAAAAAACAGTGGCACACCGGGAGTGCCAACAGAAGTGAAAACTTGAAAGTAAAAAAATGGTGGTACTCAGGGAATGCCGACAGAAGTGAACTTATATACTTATGCATATACAGAGGTGTCGGTAACGGTAACAGTGCCGCGAATTCAATTCCTATAAAATACATTCTTTTGTTTCTTGTTCAAAAATGCCTAACTTCAAGAATACTAGAAATGTGTAACCCATGTCGCTGGTATGTATACCATACATATATTTATGTAGGAGAGTTAACATGAGCCGGGAGCAGGCCACGAACGCGCCATTAGGTATAGATGTGTGACCGAGTATATGCGTTTGTCAAGGGACCGCCCCGCCATGTTCCTTCATAATTAACCCTGTTTCGCCAACTTTAATGAGGCCCCCATGTTTACATGAGATTCTACTCTGGGAATCTGATGCTATTGGGACTTCTGCTGGTGTACCACGACGATTGTGCAGATGAACTTAGATTTAATACTGACAGTTGTAGTACATAATAATAGTGTAGTATATAGAATAGTGTAGTACATCTTAAAAATGATTTTATTTTAAGGAAGTAGCGATATATCATGCACTTTGAGTTAATTGTATACATTATGTTTGGCTATTTAAACATTCTTCATCTCATCCCTAACCAGGCGGTGCTTGTTGTAATTTTTTATTTTTATTTTACAACTCCCGCACTAGGAATATATCCTGTTTCGCGGAGGACTTTACAAACATACATGAAACGGACAGAAATAACACCCAGACTCAGAATGACAATTTGTGCATCACACAAAGTGTCGTCTCATGTGGAGACCGAACCCTCAGCACTCAGCGTAGTAGGAAGCGGCGTGGCGACCGCTTAAACCACTACGCCATCTGTGCAGTCGTGTCGCAATTGCATATATTATATACATACATATATCAATTACATGACACGCATCACGAATGATCGTGTTCATTACACGTTTATTTGTACTGACTGGAAGTTAAACCCACGACCTCGGTCTTAGCGGTAGGATACTAACGAATATACCAACGGACTCGCCGTTAAAACATCTATGTCTGCTACGCACATGTGCCAACTTGTCTCGCCCTATAGAAATACATTTCGAGCAGACCTATAAACAATAAAGTCGGGCTCGCTGCGTTTCCTTATTGTTCCGATACACATAATTTCACTTAAGCCGGCGCGTTCGCGAAAATATAATAAAGGAATTTTGTAATAATACGGTGTCGCTGGCGGCGCGGTGGCGTCGTTAAGTCCGCGCACGTCAGCCCCGGGCGCAGCTTGAGAGCCAGATTGCCTCTGTAATATTAAAAACAATGTTCCTGCCGCCCGCCCCGACACTATGCGACCGGCCCGGCCGCGCTTGCCTTGTAGCCTAATGAAGCAAATTGACACGCGATAGCCGGATTAGTTATGAGCGTGTTGCTGCCGTCGTCAACCTTACCGAGAGCACGTACACCAAGGTTTGTCGAAATTACTCGAAATGTACCGCGATCCCTCCGCGCTGTTTTCTCGAATGTATGATTGAAAAATTCAATCGAAAATTCATCAACGCGACTTGATTCTAGCCCAGAATCGCGCAGGCATCTATACACATTTATCCGTTTAACATTTTTAGAATTGTTGTGAGCTTGATGACTTAAGTCTGTCCTGATACCTGACCAACCTTAATTGATCATTAAAAGTTGTGTTACCTTGGTGCCGTACTGTCTCCGTCTGCGGAGTACACTTCTAGCAGGAACTTTTGTGGCAGGCCACCGTCGAAGCCCGCCACACAAGACACTTCAACGGAATCTGTCGTTTGATTCCACAGCGTACAGTTGCGTGGCGCGTGGGGCTTACCTGAGAACAAACATTCGTCATTATAATCATCCCAAAAACTATGACTATCTATGGATTAAACACACAAAAAAAAGAGGCAGTCTCTCACCGGCGACAACCATCTGAAAGACGCATGGTGCAAGTTGCGAGCCCACCTCGTTTGAGGCAGAACACGAGAGCGTGCCGTAGTCGAGGTCTGCTACTGGCGTGTACCTACGAAATAATTAATTCACATAAATATACAATTAATCTTTTCATGAATAGAAACTGCCTTCTACAAGCTACTGTTAAATAACACATTTATTTCCTGAGCCAACCACTGAAAGATATCGGCCTGTAATGTTTACAGTTACTTAAAACTGCATAGACACATGAGCCAAGGTGCAAGGAGGCTTTTGTAGGCTACTAAATATACAGCAAGGTGATCAGAACGTATAGTGTTTTGTTGGCCTATCTTCACTCACTTGAGACTGGACGCGCTGCCGTTGGAGGTGTAGCGATCAGCGGCGACGTCGATGGTCTCGCCCGAGTTGTTGAACTTCCACTTGAAGACAGCGGCGGGCGGGTCAGCGTCCACCTCGCACACTATCACCACGGACTCGCCACGCGCCGCACCTACCACCGACACGCCGCCCGTCCGACACGACGGAGAATCTGTCGGACAACATCATTATATTTACTTTTAAAAACATGAAAAGTATAAAAGGTTGAGGTTACTGGACGCCCAACACATCCCCCTTCTTAATGCTGGAGGGAGGGGCGTCAATTAAAAGTCGTCAATGCAATGTGTCACACGACCCCTCTGCTCATTTGCCTTTACCTTATATCTATACATATCGCTTGCCTCTTATACCATAAATAACTAGAGCAGCTAAGTTGGGGACATCCCCGGATCTAGGATGGGGACAAACTGCTCCGGGCGGCAGTTTCAGGGGGTCATTGGCTCACCCACGACTTGTAAGAAAGTACGCCACACAGACCCATACTACAAGTGAACTTATCATCAACAGCCTACACTAGTCCACTGCTGGACATAGGCCTCTCCTTAGAAAGGAGGTTTTGGCCTACTATACCACGCTGGCCAGACGGGTTGGTATAGGGTTTGTTTCAAGTTTTCCTTCTCTTTGCAGTGCTGTTGTCCTGCTTAGTTTGCTCCCTTAGTCGGCTTTTACGACACCCACGGGATGAATTGGGGTTGTAACAATTTGTATTCTTAATCCGTCACCACACGGACCACCACAAGTGAACTTATATATATATATATATATAAATATATGTATATATAAATATACCTATGAGTTTTTAAGTAATTTATCTCAAACGCTGGAGAGAAGGCGCTACCATCAAGTATCTGCTCCGGTTCGAACAAATCGTAGATTCTGGTTGGCGAATAATTATTACTACAACTAGTTGGTTCGTTAGTTGAAGCCTATTGGTAAGCTAGTTACTTTACTTTGTTTGGTAGGGTAGTACTCTGTTTTACATTAGGGCGCCGTGTCGTGTCAGAAGCGATTGGTTTCATTCGTTTAGTACGGTGAGAAACAAATCACTGGCGCATGTTGTGTCGATACGACGACACACAGTACGTAGTTGCGCTGTGCTAAATATTATGCAATAATGTGTTAGTAGGTGTAATGTATATACGAGTAGGTACTTCAGAACCGAAGCTCAAATTGTTATTCGTAGAATTATTCTATAAAGTTAAATTTTTCTAAATACTCGTAGTCCTAACAATCTACTAGTAACAATAATGAAGATACGTTCTATAACAATATTTTAACTACTAATAGAAAAAAAGTTCAGCTTAAAGTGCAAGATTGTTTATTTTGTTTTATCAAGCAGATCAATTTGTGTTAGGACTCGGCTAGTAATCTAGCAGAAACAAATGGCCGAGCAGAGGGATGGGTGAAGTATGGCCCTCGCTTATGTTAAGCGCTCTTACAAATCTCACAATACGGGACTATCTCCTCGGTAATGTAGTTACGTGATGGAGTATCTTAGACGGGCCTGGTGTTGTACACTGTGCATGGATTTTTGCTACAATTCTATACTTTCATTTCATTTATTCTTTATTGCACACACTAGACACATATATGTCATATATAAATTAATATAAATAAGTCACAAAGAAATCACGTAAGTGATAACGCCTTTGTAAGGCAAGCTTAACCCAAAACTTACTCGTATTTTTCTTCCAACAAACCTTAAGTGAATAGGTGTGTACTGATGTGTGTAAAAGTACACACATTACAGTACACACCTTACACCGAGATTATTATTTATATTTTATTTATGTATTTTTATAGGACACTGGAGGTAGTGAAGTGTGATAGGGGCTATTATACATGCCAGCTATTATATAGGGTGTCTTAGTAAGAGTGCCCTTTTCTAAATTTAGAAGGTTTTTTTTTCGTGCAAGTGGCAACTCTGAAATTTGACAGCTGTCACCTATGTTTATTTCGATTATTGAAAATGGAGCGCTTTTCGAAAGAACAACGCGTTATAATTGTGAAAACTCATTACAAAAATGGGAAACGTTGCGCTGAAACCGCTCGCAAACTTCGCCAAATTTTTAGTCGAGAAAGTGTACCTAATGTGTCAACAATTCGAAGAGTGGTCAAAAAATTTAGAAACTGGGTCGGTTATGGATATTAAGAATCTTCTGAGTCACCGTACTGGTCGCTCTCTTGAAAACATTGCTGCTGTAAACGAGAGTGTCGCCGAAAACCCGAAAACATCAATTCGGCAACGTTCTCAACAACTTCAAATTTCACGAAGCACTACAAGATTCAGCTAACTCAGGAGCTTAAACCAGCAGACCATAGAAATCGCCGGCAATTCGTTCAATGGGTAATGGAGCAAAGTGAAGTCGATTTCGAAAAAAATCATCTTCTCCAATCATCACACAATATTTGTCCGGGGTGGGCATCGAACCTTCGACCTCAGACTTAGCAGTCAGGGTCACTAACCGCTAGACCAACAGGCCCGTCTCCTGTTTTTTGTTAAATAATTGTTTTCCTGTTTTGCCTTTGTGTGTAAAAAAAACTAGTTATGAGCTCTCTAATACTAATCATGAGGCACAAGGCTTCCTTTCCTACTATTTCCTTTCCAACTTACCAACTTGTCCTACCATATGGAACCTCAAATTTTCCCATTTACTCCCTAAAATGACCGGTTTATGGGAATAAGTTCGACTTATTACGCATGTGGAATTAAAAGGAAAGTCAGCAAAATTTCTCTGTTGAAAACGTCTCTGATTACCCTTTGGGGACATAGCGTTCGTGTGTATATATATGTACGTACTAACGTAAACTTAATTAGGCATTGCAGTACCTAGTTCTGTTAGAAACAGTGATTACTTCACAATTTATTTGATGATTCGTAATATTCTAATAAATTCTCATCGTCGCCAGGTCGGCTAATTTACGAGCGTATCGCGTTTCAGCAACGAACTAACTTGTTGACAGACATGAGCAGCGCGTGGAGCGTGTGCACCGTGCCCCGGCTCAGTCAAGGCGAACCGGGGCTCGGGGTGAAGGTCGAGGGGCTCGTTACTCAGAATTAGGGGCGAGCTGTAATTATGTCGCCACGATTAGGGACGAGACGCAATTAATAGGAGATACAAGCAAAATTACTTTCAAACATTTTTTACACAGTAGTCTCATGAGTGGACTTTTGATTGATTGAAAATAGAATTTTGGAAAATTAAATATATTTTCTAATGATAAAGACGCTCGGACTCATCGAAAATAGCCAGTTCCAGTTAAATGTATGCGCTCCTGACCTGCCTCAGCTGTTGTTTACTATTTACCATTTCCTTATATTGCTTTTCCTTCTCACCTTTCCCTTTCTATACATTCCCAGTTTCCCCGTTCCAAAAACTAGTTCTTTTAAATAAAAATCCATAGAAAGACCAAAGTTACGCGTGCGGTAATCCTAATCTTTTCAAGGTCCTTTGACCTCGTTGATGGCGAAATCAAAATCTACCTAGAGCCTAGGATTCTGTAACAACGAAAAGAACAGCATTCTACGTGATGAAAATTGAACCTGAAATCTATGCATATAGTCTAAATACTAAATTTTTGAACAGTATGTTTGGTGCGGAGACTGGGAAGGGAAGGGGATTTCCTTTTATTGTCTACTATTGTTTCAGTTTAGTGAGCCACGAATGGTTAACTTCATGTGTCAATGGAGTTCAAGGTAACACTTATATTTAAATTAAAAAAAAAAGTGTTACCGGTCCTAATGCGCCTAAATCATGATAAACTGTAATAAGCTGTACTGTTCATCCCTTAACCGTACATAAATCTTATTTGTGTGAAGATAATCCGAGAGATGATCGCATAATCTCAGTAAATTAGAGTTCAAAGGTATCTCGTATTTTGTATGGATAATATATGTACATTACATCACTGTGCGGCTGTGTGTGGGCGGGTGTAGAGGTTAGAGCCGATTGGCCTAATGGCACCGACTCATAAATCGCTTCGCGTAACGACCAATAACAACAACTTGATTATAAAACATATTTTTTTGCGAAACACAAAATTTATGACAACATTACTCGCAGTTATGTTCGCCATTAAAAATTCCCATCTTATTTTGTCAGGGCCATATCTTACAATTGGCAAAATAGATCGGTAGCCATTACTGGGGTGTTGTGAGGGGAGAAGAGGGGTGCGATGGGTGAACAGAGGTGTACAGAACAGATGGACCATTTAAAGCAACGAGCCGAGAAGTCGCTCACCTGCGACTGCAACCAAATGAACTGACTCATTTAATTAAGTTTATTTATCTGTGAAGAGACGAGACGAGCTCAATCACCGTCAGCCAATCACTATAATTGAGAAGACTCCACACCACTGTATTTTGATATGCTGTTGGTATAAATTATTTAGGTTAATGGAAACTGTTCACTGTGGAATTATCTCAAAACTATCACAGACTGTTTGTTTAAAAAAAATATGTTTCCATTTATGATTTTAGTTCTGAATTAGGTACTACATGAGTTTGTGACACAGGGTATCTCTGTCATGCCGTGATCGATCAGACCGCGTACACGCGAGTATCGTAAGGGCCTCGCACCACGCTCGCCGCAGCGGATGCTGACGTCACACCACCGGATATAAGCTCCTCCATACACAATAGAGCCTACCTACCTATCATTCATTACATACTTTGCTCTCAAACAACACATAAATGTATGACGTATGTACGTAACCGTTCGCTAAAACATTTCAAATCGAGACATAACATTAAAGTCGTTTAACTCTGACGAAGACCTACTAACTCCATTTAATCTGAAATCTCGTAACAAAAAGTTTATCCGTTCTGTATTTCCTTTCAAAAAGCTACAAGGCAAACGTCGGAGAAAAAACAATTAGTGAAAGTTTCCTGCCGATAACGCGCCGACACGCGACTCGTGGCGGTGCGGCGCGGTGCGGTGCGGCACGGCCGAGGTTTGTTGCGGTGCCACAATACGCGGACGTCGCGATTAATTAATTCTGAGCAATTTAAGCGCTACTCGGTGCCTCGCATTGTTCTAGATTTGTGCCAATTGTTTTGAATAAGCTTCGAGAGGTGTCGTAATGAACCCGCCTATACGCGACTTTTCTTTAGCGCCTAACTTTGGCGCAACTGTCATTGTTTGGTGCCGGTGTAATGTGTCACTGCTTCACTAAAGCTGCTTGAGATCACCGAGTTTAACTGAAGGTGGTCTGAACTTACGTCTCTACCTAGACTCGACTTTTATTCGTCTACTTCCTACCTCGATGTGAAGATGGCGGTCAGGGCCTCAACAAATGCAGTGATGGTCGGGTTATTGTACGAACTTGTGCTGATGCATTACCTGGCGTAGAGCCCCGGTGGAAGGAAGGGGAGACTGTTAGCTGGGGCCGAGGCACGTCCGCACTCTCTCAACTTGTTCTCAACTTTCGTCGAATTCTAATATGTGAACTTTATCTTCTTGCATAATTCTGTTTGACGCAAACGACACGACCCGAATGGCGTGTGAATATTGCATGATACTGTCGAATCCTTCAGAGCTTTAGTGAGCCAGCACTGAATTCAAAATACTATCAATGAGATGAGAATATATCCCCATTCGGTGGGTGCTAAAGTAGCTCGTGGAGACGTTCGTTCGCAGCTAGGGCGAGGTAAAAAGGAATCGTATTATAGTGTCGAACATTATCCCATTTGGAGCAAAACATCAGTTGAATATTTTCCAAACAATAAAATAAATTGTCCGTCTAGACATTAATGTGACCAGTCGGCTGGGTTCGTTTATTTTCTCTTTATTTATTGACGACGTTCTCAAATAAGAACAAAGACGATACGGTATCCGACCCAGTCGTCATTCGTTCAAGGCGAAAGTAAGAATGATCCTCAAACACAAAGAAGCTACGTCATCATTGGATTAATATCTAATATATTTTATGAGTCCTGTGTAATATGTATATATGTATGTATGTAAGAAAGTTTTAATGGATATGAATATATACATTTTATCCCTTTGCCATCCCCATTTTTTCGCTTATTCTTTTGTGTGAATGTATTTCTTGGTTAAGTCTTGTTATTTTACTTTGGAACTTTTATATTCAAATTTAGTGCACCTAATCACTCATCTCTACACCACCCCAAGGTAGACCGGCAGAGAATGCCTATGGCATTAAGTTAACCTTTGGACTTTTTTTTGTATTAAGCATCAAATTAACAAAATAAGTAAATCATATCTTTGAATCATTGCACTGGCCGTGCTCACAGGCTAACGAATCAGTCTGCGAACATAAATTCCAGTAAACGTAATAATGCATCATGGAAATCGATGGTTTAAAAGTTACTCATTTGGGGATATTTATGTTTCATATGATATTCATGTTTGATAGTTAGTAAATAAGTGCCAAATGCTCTTTCCATTTATTTGCCACTTGAGGAAAGGGAAAAAAATATCTTTCCCAAGGAATTATTGTTTAAATAGTAAAAACGGCATGAATCTTGAGAATAGTTATAATACTTTTAGTCATGTAATACAAAAAAAAACTTTGGTTTTAGTTTTTTTATACAAGATTAAGAGAAGGAAAACTTGAAACAAACCCTATACCAACCCGTCTGGCCAGCGTGGTATAGTAGGCCAAAACCTCCTTTCCAAGGAGAGGCCTATGCCCAGCAGTGGACTGCTATAGGCTGTTGATGATTGATGATGATGTTTATTTTCGGGAACTAGTTTCTGACTTCAGTACTGTTGCAAGTCCCACGATCACGGATGAACTGAATAGGGACGAAGGTTTAGAAAGTATAACCTACCAAAATTTTTAAATTTAACAATTATTTATTTTTTTAATTTATTTTTTCATGTAATTTGTTTTTTTTTTAATTTAATTCGGATCACCAACAAGCAGTACACCTTACATGCGATAATGATAGTAGGTTTGCAATTTTCGAGTTAGTGTGCTTCCCTGATAACAGGCGACCACATCATGCAAAAAATTATACAAATTTCAATTTTAGTTGTTTGTTTGTTAGATAACAAGATTAGTTTTATATTAACAATCATTGTGACTTTCTTTTTTCTTTCAAATTCTCAAATTAACAAATAGATAAGTTATGGCAACACAAAAATCTGTCGGAGGCATATTTATACATGGTAGGCAAGAATTCAAAATTAAAAACCAAAAACTAAATTACAAATTAAGTGCTCAGAAGTGAAATACCAAATACCAGCGAGCTGTGTGCGGATTAGATATTTGATTTGTAATTAATGTGATTTAAATTTAATTTTGCTTGTCAATATTGGCGAAATGTGTGATTCAGTACTTCATGTAACATCCGTACATTTTGTGCAAATAAATTATTCTATTTTATTCTAATTTCGAGTTCGTAGCCCCAGTGCTTTAGGCTCGGCGTGATGAATCAGTCACTCAGTTTAGGCAAGTAATTTTAAATGGGTGTACTTTGTGTCCGTTTCATGTATGTTTGTAAAGTCCCCCGCGACACAGGATTTATTCCTAGTGCGGGAGTTGTCTTTTTTAAAAAAGAAAAAAAAATGTATATAGTATTATTTCATTTCTATAACAGTTAACTGACTTCTTCATCAGACAGTCTACACCGTAGTTATGCATTTATAAAAATATACGCACATTTGACTCTGAAGTGCAGTTCATTGGAGACAGTCTCCCCCTCGGCGTTGAGCGCGGAGCAGGCGTAGCGGCCGCTGCTGTGTCGCGTCACCTTCTGCAGCACCAGGCTCTGGTTGCTGTGGAACACCCTCGCGCTCGCGTTGTGTGCTAGGGGCCGGTCCTGGAACAATCATACAGGTATTACCGATTTTGTATATTGCAGATTAACTTAATTAGACTAGAAAGACTAACTTAATTAACTAAAGTCGAAAGCTAAGTCAGATTTTTAATGACGCTACTTGAAGTAACTTAGATGGAAAGCCCTATTTTTTATTCTGAATTTTATCACATCATCACATCAACAGGCTATAAAAGTCCGCTGCAGGACATAGGCCTCTCCTTAGAAAGGAGGTTTTGGCCTACTATGCCACGCGGGTTGGTATAGGGCTTGTGTCAAGTTTTCCTTCTTTTTGCAATGACACCAGCCTGCGTTGTTTTGCGCCCTTAGTCGGCTCTTACGATACCCACGGGATGAATTGGGGTAATGTACATTCCGTATTCTTAATCCGTCACTACACGGACATTTATGCTTCGATGATATAGAAGCGTATTTTGATATGATTACTATTATGGGGAATTACGACAGGAAATACTTAGTATATACAACTAACACATGCTATAAAGGTAAATCAAAGCTAATAATATTTTTTATTAGTTTTCATATATTAGATTATATCAGCCGGATGGCGTAGTCGCTACTAAGTTTGTGTGATTATTACGGCCTTCCCTAAGTCGCACAAACTACTAAGTTTGTGTGACTGACTGGTACGTCAAAGGTCGCGGGTTCGATTCCCGCTCAAGTCAAACATTTGTGTGCATGAACATTTAATCTGTTGTCTGTGTTTTGTATGTATTTACAAAAAAGTATGCATGTATTTTCATCAGTTGTCTAGTATCCATAGTACAAGCTCATTCATCAGACCATCGTTAAAAACCGTAATTCATTAGACTTGCTCATAGGTGCTCAAACACGACGGGTGTACTAACATAAAGGAGGTCTACTCCTGCATCAGATCAGCTCGAAGGTGCGAAATAATAAATATAAAATTAAAGATATGGAAAAGTCGTGTCCGAATATTTCGGAAGAACCTTATTTTTTATTTTATTTATTAAGGTTCACCAACGTTTGTAAACACAAATATAATTTTACAAGACAGCATTCATAGTTGACATACAATGATTATACAATGCAAGTTACGAGTATGTATAACTACTTACAGGTGAACTCAGCATGCATTAAGATACGTACAGATCAGCAAATGTAAACTAAGATTAGGCATTTAAAATTAAAGCTTAAAATGATCATTTTAAAGTGAACTTTATGCCCTGTGTGATGTACGCGGGAGATGATGTGATTGTGAGTATACGTCTGCGTTTGTGAGTGTAGCCTCTGTCAGCCCTATGACATATGTCTTGGGATCGGAGGTTAGGCCACTAATCAGATTGGTGTGTGGCTTCGTATACTTGTATTTTGTATAGGTGATGTACGGATGTGTTTGTTGAAATGTTTCGCGTGTGTAAGTACAGTGTATTGTATGTGTATTTGTCTTATAACTAACACTGATAAATACAGAATTTATACAGTGTGTTGCGAAATGAACCTGCAGAGTCATGGTGAATATCTACTATGTCGCCATTTTTATTTAGTGTTCGACATAATCTTGAAACAGGTGAATTGTAACCTAATACTGTTCAACTTAGTGGGGGGGTAGAGAGGAGTAATTGGTTTACGTGGCATTCTGGCTGAAATACGAAAATTAAAATGTGATAACAATTGTGGACACAAAGATTGTTTCGAAATAAGTTGAACAAGAAGCCCATATCCATAACGTCCCTCCTATTTGATAAAGTAAGCATTTTAAAATGATTTAGCCTTTCCGTATATGAACGAAGTTCCTTAGCCATACCAACAGATAGTTAATTATCCATCTATTATAACATCTATGTAGATATACATATTTATCACAAATGACAATACAAAATACACAGCGAGATATTTGACTCCGACTTGTAAAAATTTCTGAAAAGATTTACTTACAGAAATAAATATCATTTACAATTTTTATTTTTTTTATTTTTTTAAAAGACAACTCCCGCAATAGGAATATATCCTGTGTCGCAGGGGACTCAGAACAACAATTTGTGGATCACACAAAGTGTCGTCCCATGTGGGGTTTGAACCCACAACACTCGGCGCAGTAGGAAGCGGCGTGGCGACCGCTTAAACCACTACGCCATCTGTGCAGTCTCTAATTTACAATTTGACAGTGGACTCACGGAACACTCGCATCATTAGAGTGGTTGTTCACACACTATTAGGATATTGTTCATACAATATCCTAATAGTGTAGTGTTGTTTAGTTATAATCGTCATGGTATCTGGACTGTCTATTATGGGTCTGGATTAACATATATTGAAATTATTAAACAAATAAATGAATACATTAGTATAATTGCAAGGTAACACGAAAAAAATATGACCAAAATATTATGATGACGTAAATGGTCTTTCGCGAGGTGGTGTTACAGGGCGAGAGTGTGCGGGGGGAAGCTTAGGAAGGGGGGGGGGGGGTCGGTTGTACAATTACTAGAATATATTTACACAAAGGGTCTGCCCATTACCGCGCCGGCCTTACAAAAGGCGCCACTCCAGCGGACAAAGGTACTCGTTACGTTCTAGAGGACTGATTATATTTTTTTGTTTTCAACAAAAAAAGATTGTTAGTGTCGGTGTACACGTGCACTGCTGCTGTACACTGGCGTACACTTCCGGTCTCGAAATTAGGTCTGCCATTGTCTTTTGACTACTTTACAAGATTATATTACATTGTTAAGAAAAGCATATTAGAGATGACTGACAGAGAAACAGACAGAAAGAGATGTATAACATTTATACATACATATATACATATGATATCCTATCTGAAAATGGTAACATTCCTGAGAAGGGCTGTGATCCGATATACATATGGACCCGAGGCTGGTTAAGAAATAATCCAAACGTCTATGCAATATTACTGGCTCCAAATGATAGTTTTAAGAGGACGTGAAGATGATGATGATCAGTAAGTACCTTTAAACAGGGAAGCAATTTCAGAAATCAGACAAGTGCGATTCTGACTAGTTCAACGAGGGTGCCGTACGAATTTCTAATCGAAAACTATACATCATTAAAGTAATTAAAAATCTGTTTAAGCTTGTGCCAGTGCCTTTTATACGATATCCTACATGACACAGTTAATCCAAAATTTGGACCGCCGATCCTTGCATGTCCAGACACTGTTTTTTAATGATTTAATTACAAAAATATAGTTTTCAGTTTTTTCCCTATACTTGTAGTACAAAACGGTATTACTTGCCAAATTTCATAATTCTAGGTCAACGGAAAATACCCTATACATTTTAAATCCCATGAGAGTGTCGAAATATACGTTTTTTACGGCATAAACGGCCGTATCTTTTTTTTTACGTTAACTTATAAGTTTGTTTTTTCACATCTTCAAGAGACTGTAGACCTGAGTATATCGTTTTAATTTCAACTTAAAAGAGACAAACAAGATAAAGAGTCTTGACAGACAGACAGACGGACTGACGGACAACAAAATGATCCTATAAGGGTTCCGTTTTTTTTTTGAGGTATGGAACCCTAAAAATTATACGGTGTAATCTAAAACGGAACTAGCTAATTTGCAAAACTAAAATTTGCTTTATAACGTATTTTACTTAGAACCACACGTATCACTTTTGACGAACAATACGAATCACTGTACTTATGTCTCGGTGAGTAAATTCTGTAAATAAAATAAAATGTTTTTATGCCCTATGTTATGCCTTATTATGTTTCATACGTTAAAGATATTTCAAAAATGCTAAATGTGTTGAAAAATATATATTCTACAATGAAATGATGAATATAATAGAACTAGCTTAGGCATGATTCCGACCGCCCAAGTACTGAGTAAGTTCAAGATAAGGCGGAGTAAAAATGTAATTTTTACAAATGAAGTAGCTGGAGCCGGGCCACCAAAAAACGTGTTTAGCCTCGATGACTCTGTTGTTTCGTAGAACAAAGGGGAAAATTAAAAGAGACATTGTGTAAGCTGCTTGAAATTAGTAGCGCAGGTTGTTTGGGGTACATGAAAAACATATAATTTCGCTCCACCTTTGTCGGGCCTCGGCGGGCCTCAGCGGGCGGACGAGCTATTTGTTCCATCTTGTTGTACTTTGTGTGTTTCTACATTTGACTACACCGTATATATAATGATGGGATTATCAACTAAAGTATATACAAAATAATGAGCATGCGTACCAACTTTTGTCGTAGTAATATTACCCAACGACACTACAAGACATCCTTCTTATTTAGAGTTGCAAATATTTGTTTTATTGTGTCAGGCTAAGTTTAAATTGTAGATGTTTTAAAATAATGTGTTAGAAATGTGTTTTATATATTTAAATTTTGAATACACTTCATAGTGTGTGCAACATTGCGTCTGGATCGCCATGTTGACCGAAATTATAAAACGACTGTGCGCGGGCGGATCGCTCACTATTACCTTCCAAACTTTGTACTGTTAGAAATCCGAAACCCAGCTTGAAGTTTTGAATTATTACTGCAACATTACTAAACTACCTTTACGTATTAAAAAATAATAATATATATAATAATAATAATTCGTGTATTATTTACCTTTATTTGTTTTACTATTTACATAAATTATTAGTGTAATTACCGAGGGCCTCATTACGTTCTTGGCTGCGATACAACGAGTTGGAGTAGGAGTTCCACTTACTTATCCTTCACTCACTAAGAGTACCCATTAGGTATATGCCCAAACACGCTTTAGAACTAAACTTAATAATCTTTAGTGTGAGCTCGTGTGAGGCGGTTTTAAATTGGAAAACTTGAACAAAGCGGATTTAGGTGTAAGCTGTTCAACGTTACTGCACACATAATCCTTACTGATGATTGATTACTTTCTGTCAATACATTATACACACAAAATTATATTTATTCTGATAGTTCTCATCTTATATTGGAGACTGAAGACTGATATGATTTTAGCAATTTCAATGTTCTCTATTATTCCTTTAAGGTGGCAAACCTATATGTGACCGATC